GTGGCGGTGGTGGTGGTGGTGTCGGTTCTTGGCAACAAGTGGTCCTTGGGAGACGCGATGCCGGATTGGTTAATCAGGTCGTTGCAGATGAACTCGGTACCATTGAACTTCCTTGCAAAACACAGCGCTGACACTCTCTTTGCGACGTGAGCGCCTTGTACCAAACCGTAGACATGTGGTAAAGTCATGTCAGCTCGCGCTAGGACATGGCCGCAGACATACTACATGCGTACGAACACTTTCGTACGCACAGCCCACCATACATGCAAAAACAGTATCAGGTCAGGCTGAACATTGACGATACACAGCGCTGGTCTGATTCTGGCATCTGAGCCCGTGGCCGCTGTCTTTACCGCAGGAAATACGGAAGCGTAGAAAAATCGTGACTAGCACCTAGCCGGCCTGAACTAGCCATTGGTTCGATTTCTGCATACGTCCGCTGCTGCACGGGTTGCAGGTTTGCTCAAACTTGAGATTGCGCTTCCACTTCATCCACGCTATCCACACTTCTGTGGATGAAATCTACGCCTGAGGTTACAGTCTAGGTCAAAAAGGAAACCCTGAAAACCATCAAGTAGAATCGACAAACTGAAGTTGTGATGAATCACTCCGGCGTGTTGAGCTCTAGTCTCCTCCACCTTGCCTGAATCAATTCCACAGTCTTTACCAAGCGGCTGGTTGGCAGCTTCACAGTGAGTACGCGCCACAATTTGGGTTGGTCCCTCCTTCAAGACATCCGCGTACCTGTCACTGCAGGGATCCCAGCTACCGCAAAGGCCAAGGCAAACTCCGTCCACACACTGCTACCCACAAATAGTAAGCCAAGAAACTGGGTACCCGCAGCATCGAGGCTTCCCCAGCCTGCAATAAGTGCCTCGCGCAATACCAGCAATTTGTCTTCGTACTTAAGCCAAGTCTGTCGGAATCGTCCAGAACCACAACTACTTGAAGTAGGTCTTACTGAAAACTACAGTATTGCTGATTCTACACGGCACCCATGGTGCGGCGAGCCTGCTTCCCACTGTGCACAGTGTAGGTCTGCTCGAGCCTCCGACAGTTTCGGTCCACACAAGAACTGAACTTCAAGCTTCTCGGGTCGGACCCCGAGCGGTTAGCAATGGAGCTGAAGCAGATAAACTGCCGAAGCTCATGGAAGCTCAACAAGGCGAGCTCAGGGGGTATGAGGTCGAACTCGAGCACAAAGCTACAACCGACAGCGAGGTAGAACTATGGTGAACTGCCGAATCTGCTCTCACATCGCCAGGAGTGCAACCTTCTTGCCATAAAGATGAGCAAGACCGTGAAGCCGACAACCACGACCACCATTCAACAGATCACAGGAGTTGCGATCAATACCGGCAATGACACAGCAAAAAGGCATCAGCTCCAGAACGTATGTTCATTCTGATGTGGTGGTGACAGCCAACAAAGCCTCCATGACTGCGTGCTCCACAGCGTAATACAACAAACCGACACCGCAAGCACCAACGCGGGCAACATTCAAACTTCTCAACTAGTCAGTCTGCAACAGTCCCAGGAGCTGTGCAAGTGGTTTCGTTGAAGGGGCAGCTGTCGACAAGCGAATGAGGGCCTCAGTGGCTTCTTCCGACAGGGACAACAAAGGCCCGATCACTTCTAGTCCGTGTGAAAGCGAAGCTACGACAACAACTGCATGAAGGCCACTATGCAAGAAAAATGCAGGAACTTGTTTCCGATTAACCACACATTTCATGTCCAACATGGGCGTGCTGCGATGTCATCATCCAGGGTCACCATGTGGTAGGTCGGGTGCACGACCTGGACCACATGTTCGGCACGTTGGTCGTCATCTCGAGACGCACATCTGAAGCACTCAACACCTGCCAATTTGGCTTCTGGCAAGCTTCGATCAGGTCAATGTTCGACAAAGTGTAATCGTTGGCCGTTGTAGATGCCAAATATCGCACCTGGCGCAAATCCCGGAAACCTAAGCCGTGTCACACGCCTCACAATGAGTTGCGCTGCTGCCGCCAGCGGCTATAATACTCCTCTACTCTGTACATCAGTACGTATGTTTGCTTATGGGCAAAAGGATGTCTACCTACACATGCGCAAATCTTTATATACCCACATTTATACACATCTGTGCGCGTACGAGCGGGCTAGTAGATCTGTAATCTGTCAAATTTGGTTGCTCGCTGCTGGTGCGAATAATGCGCTCAGCGTCAGGTATCACGGACTCATACATGCCCTTGCAATGCTTGAGCTCTCTGTTTTGCCGCGCTTCGTGTTACCCGCCTGAAACTTGGAGACCTGCGTGGGAGAACTGTAGAAGCAGTGTGCAGCAGAGAGCACCCAGTTGGCGCGGATCAAGGTCCTGCCCCGGACATGATCGGAGACGGCAAACTTGCAGGTTTGTCGCGTCTTCGAAGAGTACACGAACTGGCCATCCTAGTAAGGGCTTAGGGTTACAATGCCCGGCAGTCCCTCCACACTGGTGATTGCCGTTGTACCGGATGGAGACAAGGTAAGGAAATCCGCCTGCGAAACGACCCCAGGGCGTTTGACCTCAGCCAAAGCATCGAAGAGGATCCCGTGACACCGACTCTACAAGCAACGACCAGAAGGCACTGTGTCAGACTCGTAGCTGCTGCATGTTGCAATCACAGTGTCATGCCGTACACACACCGCTCATCTGGCGAAGAGGGGCAGAGGAAAAAGCCTCCCTTCCCCTTGAGCCTTGAGCTCCCCCTGTCGTTGGCAGAATGCCCTTGCTTGCCGCGCCCACAGCTGGCCAACAAATGCATCTATGATGGGCTCATCCCGCTGCTTTCTTAAGACTTGTTTTCGGTGCTGCCAGTTCCCGGTTTGACGTACGGCTCATAGCCACTGCGCCTCCGCTTGTTTGCTCCAGATTGACACAGAAACGGGACTCGAATTTTGCCACGCGCCACCGCCCAAGAGCCAGCTCGTCTGGGCTCAGGCTACTTCGCGCAATGGCCGTGTGTTTGTGAAGATTCCTGTGCCTTTTGGAGAACATGGCCTGGATCCGCAGCCCCTGCATGCTGGAAGTTGCCAAGCAGCTGTCCGAGTTGTCGTAACCTGAGGCACTGCAGGTACGGAACTGTCCGGTTCGTGGATGCTGACATCTAAACTCCATGCCGAGCGCCAGGCTGTAGATCAGGCGCCGATCAGCATCTTCTGATGAAGCGCACGCCAGCAAGGCCGGAAGCACAAGGAGTGAAGATCTCAAAGAAAACATGCTGGACAGCTCCAGGGATTACCCGGAGCTGCAGGATTGAGGCTTGAGATGGCTTGAGTAGCGGAGCGCGAAGACACCTCCCTTGATCCGGACAATGTAAGATGCAGTGCCAGGGCCTCGCAAAATGACTCCTGAGGGGTTCTTATTAGAGGCGTCTGTTCATTGTCAAGGATCCTTGTGTGGGCCCGGGGGTTCCTTGTTCAAGACCACACTGACATGCATCCAGGTGCGCCTCTCGGTCCCAAGCTGGCGGCGCGGCTCCCCCCACTCCATCTCCAGAGAGGGAACTTAATGATCCCTGTGTCAAGTTATGCGGTCAAAATGCTTCTGGGCAGCTCGGGTCTGGGGTATGAGAAGGAGTGTCTTGTATACTTTGTGTTGACGATGCAACAGATCAGCTTCGGAGCCCGATGCATGGAGCCAGATAGCGCAAGCCCACACTGGAGACAGACCGCAGCTTTCGAAACAGGGTGGACAGAAACCCAGCGCATGTAGCCTTATACCCTGAGAGCGACATGTGTCTCCTTGCTGTGGCTCTGAGGTGAGGGCACACCTTTTAACATCCAGCTGCCCATGGGCGTTCCTTGCTCGATTGAGCAACACAATCTTAGCAGAAACATGGCTGAACGGAACACCTATAAATACACAGCTGAGCTAAGCAACCTAAGATCTCTCGACTGCCGAAGCAGAAGATATTATGAGCTTCTGGATAGCACGGCTTCAAAGATCCAGAGCTTCGTTCAACGCGCATTCTGAAACCTTCTCGTGCATAGCTTTCGAAACTCGAGTCATGCGACCGTTGGAAAGAGGAACTGCTCTGCGCCCTGCAAAAGGAAAGCCACGTCAACAGCGCAGGCCAGTACGCACAAGACGATCGCTGAACGCAAAGGCTACGTGGTAGACTCGTAGATCTTGCTGTCCTAGTGCACGCGATAGTCACGAAGGCAGATGCCATGCGTCATTTTCTTCCGCCCCCACCCGTCGATCCCAGCAAAGCGAGAAGTGCACAAACGGGAGCCCGGGCGGCGTCTCGGAGTGGTTGTACAGCGAGCCGAGACCTTGAAATTCTGAAAGCCACTCGGGACGAACATTAGCGTGAAACCTACAGGCAACTAGCATGAAAACATATTTTGGTATTCTTAGGGTTTCTGAAGAGCCACATTTACGTACATATATTACTCTATATACATGTACATACATACACGCACATACAATCCTGTATGAGTCGAGCCTCTACGCTTGTCAAGAAATGCACATCACCCATATGAGCCCGGATGCCTCCGAGCAAAGCACCCTCCTCCCTCCCCGCCCTTTTGGCCCTCAAGGTCCAAGCCACCGCGGCTTTTAGGCCGGTGGCGGCGGGAACTCTGAGCCGATACTAGAGGCCCCAAAAAGGACATAAGTGTCTGCAGTTTTAACCGGGATATCCCGACCTTATGGGACTTCATGATGAGAGGATTGGTGGGATCTCCTTATGCACATGTGCCTTTTTGGGGGGCCTGAGGTGCCGGTCTGCAACCTCCTTGCCAAAGCAAAGCGGCGGCATGGTGAAACTCTAGACCTGGGCTTGCTTGAGGGCTGATTTCCAGTGAAGACACTGCTCATGCCGATTTGTCTTGAGAAAAATAAAAAAATCCGAGAGCAAATCCAGGGAGAGCTGCCATGGAGCAACCAAGCTCCACACACTGCAGGAGCCCCCTCCTGTGCACTTTCCTTGAGGCTCACAGAGGCACTGAGACTCAGGGCTTCGGAGTCCAGCGCATGGCCTCCAGCGCTCTTTGCACGGTCTGCCGGTCTGCGCCCAAGTTGCGCGCGGCGAGGCCTAGGGCTTGGGCCTCCAAAACCACAGCAGTTGCGACGTTCAGGGACACCTCCTGGATGCGGTCGCGCTTGGGAACCACCATGTCCAAAGCCATCTCCTCCTCACCTAGGCTGTTGGCCACGGCCTCTGCCGCTGCCAAAAACAGCCGCTCTGGTATGCTCGATGCCTGGCAGCAGACTGCACCGAAAGACATGCCCGGAAAGATGTAGACGTTGTTCACCTGCCCTGGTGCGAAGGTTTTCCCGTTCAGTTCCACCGGAGCAAACCAGGTCCCAGAACCGAAGATCACCTTGCCCTGGGACCACTCGTAGGCATCGTTGGCGGTGATCTCTGCCTGAGTCTTCGGATTAGAGAGGGCGAAGATTACCGGACGCTCCGAGAAACGTAGCAAGGCCTCCACCATTGGCTTCTTGAAGCAGTTCGGAGTCACACCTACCGCCCCCACCACGCAGGTGGGTTTGACATGTTCCACTAGGGTAGCCAAGTCCTTAGAATCGAAAGTTGGCTCGCCGACCTGCGCAAAAGCCTTCTGTTCCTGGTTGCGGAAGCTGCCCATAGTGTCATCCGCAGAGCGCCAAATCAAGCCCCTGGAGTTGGTGACGAAGATGGAGGAGAGCGGTACCCCGGCCTCTTCGTTCAGGAGCCGCATCAAGCCGATGTTCGCGGATCCCGCCCCGTGGAAGAGGAAGGTCTGCTTCAGCAGCGTCGCCCTCAGGTCGCACTTGGGGTCGCGAAGGCGCATAGAACCCAGGAGCGCCGCCAGCGCTACGGCGGCGGTGCCCTGGATGTCGTCGTTGTAGGTCAAATACTTGTTGCGATACTCCGCCAATAAAGGGAAGGCATCGTTGGAGTTGAAGTCCTCAAACTGGAGCAGGCATCTCTCACCGAAGAGCTCGGTCGCAGCCTTCATGAACTCCTCGATGACATTCCCTTCGCCATAGTAAGCGGTGTTCACGACGGTTCCCCCTGCAGACTTGTGTGTGACACGTGCCTGCTTCATGCCTGTGTAGACTGCACTATCTCGGATGACCAAGCGATCGGTGTTGCCTTCCGGCCCGGAGCAGCCGGCGTCGAGGATCAGGGGGATGGTTCGAGAAGGGTCGAAGCCCGCACAGACGGTATAAAGATCCAGTTTGCCGATGGGGATGCCCATCCCCCAGGCGCCCAAGTCTCCCAGTCCGAGGATGCGACCTCCGTCCGAGAAGACAATACAATCACATAGGTAGTTGCCCTTGGCGTCCTTCTCCAGCTCGGCCTCGGCATACTCACGCAGCACTTCTTTGAAGTGGCCACGGTCGGATATGCAAAGGTAGCAGCCTCGGCGGTAGAGGGGCATCTTGCCAAACTTTTGGCATGCCTCGCCGACGGTGGGTGTGTATACGGCCGGCAGCAGCTTTGCAGGCTCTGCTGCTATGGTGGCAAAGTAAAGGTCAGGGCTGCGATCATAGAGCTTTCGCATGTAGGCATAGACCCATAAGTCATGGCCCAGTGACAGAAGCGAATGGACCTCTTGGAGGGCCTCTGCCACTGTGGTGGCCTTGCACATACCGCTCAACATAGAAGCAAGCTGCTTCAAGTCATCATGGTGAAGATTCCAGGCCTCAACGCTGTTGACCTGTGCCACGGCCTTGCCAAGGGAGAGCGTCCGTTGCGCAGACATGCGAAGCGAGTCGCAGAAGCCACTGACGGAGACAACCTCGTTCTCGGAGAAATCCTTAGCCTGCTGGAGGAGGAACTCCACCGAAGCCTCGTCCACGCCACAGGTCTTCAGAACCGCTGCGAGATCATCGCTTCGGATATTCTCTCCAACCGTCTGCTTAAAGGCTTCCCGCACTTCCTGCATGGCTCCAGACAGGCGCTCCTGGCCCCTCTCCCGAACCTCAAGCTTGAGCCAAGGCCTTTGGATCTAGATTTGCAGGTATTTGCAAGTAAGGCTTGCAAGGTCGTCGACATCTCAGATTACAAGCGCTGCGACTCTTGGGACGGTAGGCAGCTGGCCCAAGGGAAGGTAGAAGTCCTTGCTGCTCGGGTCATCTTTTAGACCTTGAGTTCCAAACGGGGAGCCCGGCGAGTCGTTGCAGCTTCTTGGGGACTTCAGCGAGGGTGCACCGGTCTTGTGAACTGAGCTCCGCTCCCCAGCGGTAGCTAAACCTGAGCCGCAAGGTCGAGAAAACGAGCTGCCAACAAGAACTATCTGCGGTTCTTGACAAGAGCTACGAACGCCAAACCAAACTCTGCAAACAGGAGTGCACTGAGGCTCCAACATCGCTTCCGCTGCCCCGGCATCCTTGCGATGACATATCATATCCAAACAGAGCATCCCACGGATAATAACAGAGTTATCCCAAATTCAGGCTGCGAGGAGGGCCACTTATCCCTCTCCGGCAGCAAGGACTGAGCAGCCGGACCATGACGATTGCAGGGCAGCTTTCGATCAGTTGTCCCTTGGACAACTCCTGCATCAGTGCCGGAATGGCTTCTTTATAGAAATTCAAAGAACGCGTATCGAGCTGCTTAACGTCGTGCCTTGGTCGTGAAGACGCCCCGTCCATGGATGCAGGACTCCTCACCGAGTCAACTCTCGCAGAATGCTTCGCTGTCCACTTGAAGACCTTTCTGAGTGGAGGCTTTGGTTGGAGTCCTCGAGAGTTGCAACCCAGACTTTGGCATCTTGCAATGCTCTATGACTCTATGACAGTTTAAAGTTTACGTTGGGAGGATCTTGGAGGGGGGGCAGGGCACTCTATCGGCAGCAGCAGCAGCAGCAGCAGCAGCAGCAGCAGCAGCAAGAGCAGCACCCCTCCCCGTGAAAAGGAAATATGAGAAGTACAACAATGCGCCGAACACGAAGATAATGTTCTGGCAGAAATTATGACATGGTTAGCTGCATTTCACAAGAAGTACTGAAGAAATGCATAACGGTAAAGTATCAGTATATGCACATCATTCCATTTGGACATCGCCTCTCGCTATGGCAAGCAGGACATGAGCGGTGTCCCCGTGAAGAATGAAGCCAGAACTCTCGAGCTTCCCTGACCTGGGATGACGACTCATGTGACTCGAGTCTAGGTGAGGAAAATCTCTGGTTTAGGCGAGAGCATCGGGTTTGGGAAGGTTTGCGGGGACGCCCTCTGGACATCATACATAACCTCGTGGCCCTCAAGGGGCACCCAGCCTGAACTTCCTCTCAACGCAAGGTGCCAGGTCGACCTTCGAGCCTTTTGAAACGCGACTAGCCGGGAGCGGTCGGTCCGCTGGAAGGCTCCGCTTTAGGATCTCCCTCCTTTTTCGAGCGCCAGATCCCGGAGTCTCAAGCAACAGGACTCTACGGCTCGGAAACTACCTGGCGCGATGCATGAGAAGGTCCAGGTGGATCACTGGCGTTCTTCGCCATCTGTGACAGGCTTCACCTGAAGGTCTGCCCAAAGTCGCGCCAAAGAGAAGAGCGACAGCGTCAGTAGGCCTCAGCTGTGGAGCGAGTCGAAGTTGTGGTTCGCACGCGGCTCTGGGTGTTTCTGCGAAGTTGGCGGACAAACATGTTGGTCTCACCCACCTAAGCGCCTCGCGCACGAACATCGTCATCATCCTAAGTGCAGGCAGGGCGGAGCAAGACAGCTAGACTCGTGGAGCCAATGCTCCGCAAATTCCGCATCCAGGGCTCAGCAACTTCAAAGGAAGAGCCGGCTGCCGGGTTCCACTGAAGGACCGGGTGATCAGCCTCAGATGCTACCCAGGCTCTCCAAACGCACATGTGAAAATTAGAAACACACGTGCCCTAATATGATATAGGACTCTCGCAACTTATATGGTATTCATGTATTCTGGTCTATCAACTAATGTCATACGCTTATGGTAATATACAGGATTTTGTTGAAGTTCAAGGGGCTGCAAAGCTGGAAGCTGCGCCACGAGGCCAAAGATGGACAAAGCGATGAGCACTCGGAAGTTCTGGCAGAGGGCTCGCGATTACCACAAGTGTTACTACCAGCACAAAGTATTAAGGGGGAGTACAGGGTGACTATATGGACTACTGTAGAAATATGACATGGGTTACTATAATATATAGTATGCGTTACGTAATCATGAAGATTCGTGGTGACTCTTGCCACCTGCGGACCATTACGCGATCTGTGTCGGAACTCTTGGTTGGCATCTGTTTCAAGCAAGCACCTTGGTCGCAAGCATTGCGCCATCCACTGGGTATGCAAAGACCTTAGTGTCCGCATGGGCAGAGTGTACCAACTCCCAGCGGCCAGTCTAAATCCATTTTTATGCTTTCCACCATAACACGCTTGGAAACATGACGGAAACATGTCTTGCACCTTCCTCAAGCTTTCCGAGGCCTTTCAAGAATCCAATCCCATCGAGCGGCCAGTGATGCCACTGCGAACATCAACACCGGCGCACTGCGATGGACGACGTCAATGACCGCACTGTCGCCCTGCACAGGAGCACCATCAGCAGATGCGATGTGAACCTCTTTATCGCCAGAGGTGGTGGACCCTTCGCGTGCAACGACATCCATGAAAATGTCAGTGTCACAGCCACCATCTATCCCGGCCGAGAAGGTGCCACCACCAAACGCCGCGCAGGCGAAGGACCCTGCGCCCGCCACGGCGCCGGCAGAGAGGCCCAGGAACAGCAGGCTCCTAAGCTCATTGTCGCGCTTCGGCGCTGCAGCTTCGGTCGCTAAGCTGGCCAAACCGCGACATAAATCAAGGATCAGCCTAATGAGTTCTAACTTTACAGTCAACACTGTCGGCCTGTAAGCTAAACATGAGCGAAGCTGCTTCGTCGCCCGCCTAGCTCCAGCCGTGTCCTTGCAAACCCGGACATGGCATGAGATCGCTACGCTCTCGACTTGAAGAGCTTGAAGACTTCATTATTCATGTGCGATGGCTGCGACTCCACCCTCAGCAGCACACCAATGAAGGCAGTGTTGGCCCACAGAAGAGTCGAAACCGAGGTTGATCCCTCTTGCTGCTGTGATGCCTTCTTCTCCAGAAGCGGAGGCAACAGCGCCTCCGGCATGCTCCGGAACACTACACTCCTGCCCTGCCCGATGCCCAACTGTGGGCCCAGCGTCCCCAGCAATTGCAGAGGCAGTGGCAGTAGCAGTCGGGGTCGTGCTGGTGCAATAGTGGGGGTGGGGGTGGGGTGGCGGTGGCGGTGGTGGTGGTGGCGGTAGTGGTAGTGATAGTTTTATGTCACCCACCGTGATATCGGTAGTAGCGGTAGTAGGGCTAAGGGAACAAAACACAGCAAATAGGGATCAAACAAAATGCGATCCAATCAAAACAGGTGTCAAAAAAATGTCATATCTCCTGGAGGGTATACTCAAGATTACCCATTTTCGGATCCAAACAAAATCAAACAGGGATCAAAAAAAAACAGAAAGACGTGTGACTGGCAGAAGCCTGGTTACAAAAAACGCGAGGTGAACTCGCAAAAGCCTTCAACCCGGTGCGCAGCAAGTACAGAATGCAAATCGGCAGAGAATACAGCCACAGAGCATTTTATGCGTGTATATACATATATATACACATGCCAACATAAGTGGATGACGGGTACGAATCTCGGTAGGTCAACAGCCTTGGGCGTTGCAGCACTTCTCGCCTCGCACCCAGCAGCTGGGGCGGAGCAGGAGGCAACACCACCTAAAAACCATATCAAACAAACTAACTAGACGTTTTTCCTTGCTTTAAACATTAAACGTTGTTTGCCGATCTTCGGTATTCAATGTTCAAGGCACCTTGAAGATTTCACGGCTTTTTTGGCAGCAACCTTGATACCCAATCTCGGAAAATTATCAATGTGTTGATTGTTTTGGAATTTGTTGAGGAGAAGCCTTGGAGGTAGATTTTGAGGGATATAGGTAAATATATACACTGATGTACATATATACGTGCACATGTTAATGCAATGTAATCATGAAATGTCATGACATGTCATGAAAAGTAATGAAATGTAGTGACATGTAATTTAGTATTTATGTATGTATGTATGTATGTACGTACGTATGTATGTATGCATGTGTGTATGTGTGCATGTATGCATGTATGCACGTATGCATGCAGGTATGCATGCATGTATGTATGTATGTATGTATGTATGTATGTATGTATGTATGTGCATGTATCTATGTATGCCTGTGCATATGCATGCATTTATGTATGTGTGATGTATGATGCATGTGGTGATGAGTGTTCCTTCCCCCCTTTCTGCCTCTTTCCTTCCTCCCTTCCTTCTTTTCTTTCTTTGAGAAAGACCAAGTCGTATGTGTTTAATTATGGGCTTCAAATACTGTAGTTCACAGCATTTCAGAGACTGGCTGTTGATCCCTATTCGTTGTTGTGTTTGATCCCTGTTTGGTTTCTTGTTCATGCTGATGCCTATCCCTGGTAGTAGTGGCAGTGGTGGTGGTGGCGGCGGCGGAGGTGGTGGTGGCAAGTAGTAGCCGTTGTCGTCGTTGTCGCAGTAGTACTAGTAGTAGTGTGCAGAGGTAGTCAGGCAAGTAGGAGTCGGAGGAGTAGTTCAGCAGCAGCAGCAGTAGTAGCAAGAGCAGCAACAGCCCATTCTGCCCAGAAGCCCCAAAAGTTGTCAGACAAGTTTTGCTCGACTAAAGCTGGGACTGAGGTTTGTCAGAGCCTGCGCCGCTTGGCTCAGTGGCTCCCCGACCAAGGCGAACAGTGTGAAGAGGTTGATGAGAATCTCAGATCAGGCACATGCAGCCAATTTTTGGAGTCTAGAAATCTGAATGGTATCACACAAGTCGCCATGTTGATAAAATGATTGAGGTGCACTTGGGATCGGTAACGAGGTCACCACGTCTCCACTACGAGGTCTCCCAGTTGTTAGGGTGAAGTTCGATAACGACCTTGGCATTAAGACATAATGACTCCTAGGAGAAACGAACAAGTTCAGGCAAGGCCAATATCAGCATCCATACAGACACCGACACTGGAAAGAGGCAAAGAAAAAGGACAGGGAATATGACTCGAGCCTACCCGTAAGTGATAGATAACCAAGGCACTCGAGTCCCCGACTCCAACAGGGTTCTGTCAGGGCTTGCGTTGTGCTCCGGAGTGAAAGCAAACACATCTCGGTGTACAGCCACAATCAGGTATCACAAAAGATCGAATACAACTAATTACATACACAAGGTGGCAGGACTTAGGGTTTAGACATGTTTAGAGTGCCGCATCCTTCAGAAGTCTCGAGAAAGCTTTGCATGCTTACAGACGAGAGAAAAAATGCCTCGGCACCTCCTGCATAGATATGTTACGGGAAGACGAGCCCACAACTTCTGAAGACGCGGCCGTACCATGGATAAACCGCCTTAATCCGCTCTAAAGACGTGCGCATTCAACCACCAAAACCCTGCTGCAACTGAGAAACGGCTCAGGACCAGTCTTTAGACCATGTGCAACATGCACCTATATGACCCTACCAGCAATCAACAAACAACGGGTGCGAGTTGGAGCACATCTCCTGGAACCCTAGAACCCATAAAGCCCCCGGATCAAAGATCGATGCGAAGTAGACTACAATAGCTACTACAATACAAGGCCCACCTGGTATCCTGCCAGTGCTGTGGTTCCGAGAGCAGCAGCAGACAGCGCCTTGAATAGCTCCGGCTGTTGATGAAGCTTCGGGTTGCAGCACTCGCAACTAGGCGCAGCCTTCGGGTTCAGGGCTTGAGACGCTTGAGGGGCAATGTGCAGCCCGCGATGCCCTTCGTTGTCCGGTTCCCCTGCGAATCGGAATATCATGTAATCATGCCGAATCATGCCTATCAGGGCCTATTCAAGGTGGTGTTAGCAGTGGCTCGGGGAGGAATTGTTTATCCAAGAAGGCAATCCCCGCGTCGCAGCCACCGGCAGGCAGTAGTGTGCTGTGTCGATCGTCTCCACTGCCGTATAAAATCATATAAAACGGAGCACCATCTGCAGGCTGACCATCGGCTAGGGATCTACTCAGACTACCTCGGACCAATAGTTGGGCAGTTGTGTCAGTGTCATGGTTACGTCCTGACCCAGCTTGTGAAAACCAAAGGTGGGTCTGAATCCAGCAGAGGATCCATCGCAGAAAGGCTTACCATCCTCGTGGCGACGACGATCAGGAGTGGTCCTGCGTCTACGGTATGTCTCCACTTCTTACGACAGAACACTCCAAGCCCAAGCTAGTGTACTCACATCAAGTCAAGTTCACATCAAGAGTCATCAAAATTCTAAGCCAGCCATGTTAGACTTAAGACTTTTCATGCTGCTGCTGCAGGAACGCCAAACCACCAGCAGTTGTCCACTTGCACCGCACCTGCATACTCCATCAAGGGAGCGAGGTAACGTGCCTTAGACTCAAGCTCAGCGGTAGCTTCCTATCAGCCGTGGACTCTTCACTGCTGCAGCCTTTGCTAAGGCTGACACTGAGGAAGGAAGTCGGAACCACTTCTTTGGAAGCAGCTCCTGAACGAAGACATGCTGCAAACATCGCTGACCTTATGCGGTAGTTGCGGTCTCGGGTGCATCCTGCAATCGAAGGCAAAACGAAAACCAACATCTCAGATACGCCCAGTCTTGGCTGCTCCTTAGCCCTCAGTGCGCGCACCATCAGCGCGAAGCTCAGCCTGAACACGTTCACTCTCTCACTCTCTCTCCATCTGCGGACAATCCCTGCGAAAGCTACAAGCCCTCTCCCCTCCCATACCCATTTGCCTCCGAGAGTGTTAGGTCGAAGCTGCTAGGCGGCACAGAATCTGACATGACAAAGAGCATGTGACAGCTTCTGTTGAAGGCTTTGCGGGTAAGTACACTTCACGATGAGAAGACATCACGCGTCGAGCTGATGCTTATACTTAGTGAGGAAACTTCAACCCTGCGACGAGACACAGCGTTGCAATAGACGTGGCTGCAGCGGCGCCCCCGACTCCCAAACGGAAGGGCCACACCTGGAAATTGAGCGCATTGGTACGAAAAGGCACCTCTTCAGAAATCGAGATTTCTCAACATGTTCAGGTGCGAAGCTTCTTCACACGGTCCCATCCCTGCAGGGTATGACTGTCGCGCTCAACGACCATAGCAGAAAGACCTCCCAGAGCAGCACAGCCGAGGGGCACAAAGAGCGAAATCTCCGAAGCAGTTGGCAACAGCGGCTACTCCGACAACCTGGAGGAGCCAGGAGCCCGGACTCTGGGAAAGACTCCATGCCGTCGGTGCACTCATGGTGATGCGTTGCCACTCAGAGTTCTGAAGGATTGGAAGTTGTGCCTAAATCGAAACTCGATCGTCCCCACAGTCTGTACACAAAACGGGCCTTCAGAGGTGTCCATGAATCTTTGGTTGCCAGAAGTGCAGAAAGGCAAACCTTGGCTGCAGCTTCAAAGTCGGTAGCATGCACTGCGTGCGCTGCACAAGCTGTGTATGTCTGCATGCACGTCTTATGCTTTTGTTTGAAAAATAAATAACAGTTCATCTACACGTGTGCTTACGCTCTCACAACTCGGACTGGCCAGGCCAGGATCCATAGGTTCGCGTTGGTGCGATGCTATCGTTGAGAGTCCGTGTATACGTGTGCTCACTGGCTTGCATATTTGTCTATCCCTTCCTCATGTAATTTACTCATAACTAATCACTTCTGCTCGAGGTGCATTGTGTTCGTATTCTACTTGTGGAAAGAAACTTCGTGACATGTCGAGACAAGAAGAGCTACAATGTCATCGGCTCGGGCAAGTGGCGGTTTGACTCAAAGCAGCCCAGGTGACTGCGCCCCGCCTCTGCTTGCAGCAAGTCGTTTGAAAAAATGAAGTTTCAGGTTCAGCATGGCGCACGGGAGCCTGTTGAAGTCACAACACGGATGTGTAGATCTACTGTATCGTCAAGATTCGCCTGTGGATTGCCTTGCCATTGGCGTTTTGCTCTTTCAGACTCTGCTGCAGTTGCTGTCCCAAGGGCACGCGAGCGTAGGTCGCTGCATAAGGGATGAGGTTTGGAGCAACGTGCAACATCTTGAGGATTGACTCCTGCCAATTGCACGCCCATTGGTGGGCCGGACGAAGCCACCACTCAAGCCCCTCTGACAAAGATGTCTGGCTGCAATTCGAGGTGCTACTTGCAGCACTTCAAGGGCAGGTAAACGCAGGCAGACATGATGCGAAGGACTCACGAATCCCGCCGAGCAAGACTGGTTACTGCGGAACATGCTTGCTGAACCCACTGGACTTCTTGCTTGGTATTGAACATGTCTCTGTGCCAGTAGTCTCGCTGCACTCTGACGGAAGTCACCGAACAGCCTATGGCAACGCCCTGCCCGGCTCTGCTTCCCGTTGCCGCACCGTGCAAGTCAAGTAGACGACGGAGAGGGCGACTCCGATTGGCATCGCCACGCTGAGCGCCCGCTGCAGCTCTGGCTGGGCGGCCTGACCGGGTGGACTCATTATGACATCGGGAAGCCGGCAACTCAGTAACTCACTACGGCCCACTACGGCCGTAGGTAAGGAATGCGATTGGATGACAGTGCAATGGAAGGAAGCCCAAGCATAAAGTCTGCCCAGTCACCTTTGCTCCCCCGCTAGCGAAGGCCCGTGACACCAGCCCGACAGTTGCACGCGGCAGAAAGACGAGCAAATACCTCAGCAAGCTGCATTTTGAATCTGTGGTCACCATGTCTTGCGAGGTGTTCGTCAGTTGTGGGTCGTGGCTGTGGTTGGCTTCTGCGGGGTTGGTTATCTATGCGGGTACAACTTCGCGACTGGGTAGAGTTCCCACGCTCTTATTGGGAACTGGTAATACGGTTGGGATATGCCCGGATTCTAGCGACTCGGACAGCACCTCGATGAGTGATCGTAACGGTTATGGGAAAGGTAGGACGCCCGAAGAAGGCCGTCCCTGAAGTTTCATGAGCCATAAGTTGTTTATCCAGTGTGGCAACTAAGGTGACTGTGCAATGCTGCCTGGGCATCCAGACGCCTCCCCAGGAGACCAGCATCCCGTTCTTTCAGATGTGTGGAGCGAAATGGGAGAGTGAGACAGGTCCGGGAAGCTTTTGTTGGAGAGGGCTGATGAGGCCCTCTTCCTCGAGCGGAAGCCGACATGGCCTCTGCATCTGTTCCGCCCACACGACACGCCACCCTTCACAGCCCGACACGTGTAGCAACTACCCATGAAACTTAAGCCTAAACCGTGTACACTGCTGTCAGGCTATGAACATGGATTTTCGTCTCGCTTAGTCATTTACTACAGTAGTTCGTTTTGGCATTCATAGATATATCAATGGACTTGTGTGCCCCTTTCTGCCCAACAAACTTGCACCTCCATTCTGCCAGGCTGCAGCATGTAGTCTGCCACAACAGTGCCCGGACTAAGGGCAGCCAGGCCTCCCGAATCTCAGAAGGAGTTGCAAGTCGTTGTTCAACTGTTTGTCCTAGTGGGCTGACTGTACGATCTCGAGCCACTGAACCACCGAGATCAACGACAGAAGACCATCCAACAGTGCCAACGTGAAAGACGGTAGAAACACGGGTTTCTCCCTTCCACACTGCACAGTGCAAACCCGGCAAGTACGGTTCAAAGGGGATCCTGGTTGTGACTAGAGCAGCGAACTACCTGCACACCACTCGAACTCCCGATGTGAACTCATAAGTGGAAACGCGAGCAGGCAGCCACGAAGCAGCCCTGCACTCTCCCCACATCCAGAATGCCTGAACCCCCGACAAGCCGAACTTTCCGCTGTAAGTTCCACCGGGTGCGATTATGACCGACCTTCTGGCCCGGTAAGTCTTCCCACAAAGGCATTGTCAATGTTGCCTGATTTCTGCTTTGCTGAGGGCTTTTCCTCTTTTTAGTGCTTCGCCTTTGAACTGTAAGGCTGTGGTTTAAGACTTTGTGAAGGTTTCGGCTGTTTTCGGACGCTTAAAGGTTCTTGGGGAGCAGCTACATGCAGCAACAAGCCCCGGGTCTTAAGTCGGGTAGCTATAGCTTCAGCTCGAGAAGCCCAAGTACCACATTTCTGTACTCTACATGGGCCGGCTCTTCAAGGCATACTGTCCAGATGAGGGTCTCACCCGAGATGAGGGCTCGCAGGGTTCAGGTTCAGGCCATATGCCAGCTGAGGAGAGGTGCATCCTCTGAAGTAATTTGACAGCAGGTGTTGGGACAAAACCCCTGTCTAGAGCTGAGTCCGGACTCCAAACACCGAGGGCCATGCTGAGAATCGGCCCAGACAAGCCTGGGCGTTCGTTGCTTCGACCCGGATCCTTCACTTGCTTTGAGTTTTGGAAGGGTCAACGATCAGGCATGCACCTCCGGGCGTCCATGCGAGGCTCTAAAAGTTCTTATGACAGTTTGGCTGGTTTTCCGGAGATGTCGGAAAGACATGTGTTGGCAGCAGCAAGTGGCAGGGAAAAGCTAGCAGTATGTAAGACAATATGCACGAGCACTGGGGCAGCGAAACCCCGCGACCGTCCAGGACAACAACATGGTCTCTGTGTGGATTAAGGTACCAGTGATACCCGAAACCTCTAACCAGGAATCTTGCACAGATTCACGGATCCCCAGGCCCCAGGCGAGCATGCAACATCATAAGCATCCGAATCATTTTGAGTGTGCTTTGGTGGGGTTGGCGGAGTATTTCTTGGTGTGGCAAGGCAGAAAAAAGTCTGAGTAGCTTTGTCAGTGGCTTGGTAAGGGGACTCTCTGCCATTCGACTCGAGAAAGGCCGAGGGACTGATCCCCAAAGCAGGCAAGGCAAACCGCAGCAGTTCCTCGGCGAGACTGAAACATGAAACTTAGCAGAACATCCAATCTTTCTAGAGCTAGTGTCCATCATCCCAAGCTGCAGACATGCAGTCCTGGGTTTAGTGCTTAGCCCTTTGGGATTCAGACCAGGACGGTGACAGAAGCTGCGTTCGCTACCGGATGAAACGAGCTGTCGCCTGGCCTTAGTGAACGCTTGCAAATTCCTGCTTGGCCTTCGTGAATGGCCCGAATGGCCTCAACTTGAAAGACCTCAACTTTTGAAATTGCAGCCGCCTCACCTTTGCTTTCGTTCTGAACTAGAACCACGAGAACTCGAAGCCTCTGCCATCTGAGCGTCGGCCATGCTGGTCGGCTTGGCCTCTTCCGCCTTGCCAGCGCGCCGTGGCATGGGCAAACGCCCAAGTCCCCGACCTTCCAGAAGTCAGGAGTCACGGCCCTTACGGCCCTTCAACAGGAGAGTGCCATCGCCGCTTTTCTCACCATGCCTTGAGCATACTCCCGAGGAGAAACGGCGCACAAAGATGTACAAAATACAAATGGCTTCCTGGGTGTGAAACAGCAGGCTGCCAGAATGGTAGTTTCATCTGTCAATGGCAACCCTTAGAATGCACCGTTGCAGAATATCCCAACAACTGTAGCTGCAAGTTATGCGGACTATGCTGTACTCCTCAGGATCACGGGCCCTAAACCTCGCATAAACTCTTTCTGCGATGGAGTGAAACAGATGAGTTCTCAACTCCTGGTCAAGATGTTCTCGTAGTACCTGGAGTATCGACTGCATCACGCACACAATGCCTTGCTGTGAGGAACTGGCTCTTAAGGTTCCGTAAGTCACCATGAACTGCCTCCAAGTAACCAGGGGATGTGCGGCTCCTTCTTCTTCTTCTGGAGCTCTTCTATGCGAGCTGGCAGATCTCGAATCAGAGCACGCTCGATCAACCTCGGGTGGAGAGTTTGAAATGCGCATCATTCCCTCGTCCTGCACTTGCCACCTAAACTTAAAGACTTCTGCCATGATCTTGCGATCACAAGCTCTCAGGCTGCCCCGATTATGAGAAAACATATCTCCATCAAGTTCAGTCGTGGCACGCCTGCCTTTTGACTTTCTTCTTCTGCGCCTCTAGCAGCATGGAGCTTCCGACTTTGCGGATCAGCACATTGTTCATGGCGAACATCTGCAGCTCCCCTGGGACAGGACTGCTAAGATGATTCTGCTTTGATTTCATCTGCTGAAGGGTTCAGGGCGTACGAGTACTGTAAGGGGCACCGCAGTCCGAAGGCATCATCAACCGCTAGGCCTTCGGGCATCTGACTTGAGGTCGACTACTTCCCGGCTTGGCTTGGCTGTGCATACCAGTAGAAGGACCTAGGCTCCCCCGTTCCGGCGGATACCTGAAACCCCCATTCCTCTTTCGAAGGCAAGAATCGGGCTGAAGAGGTCTCCTTGGTGTCCTGGAGGCTTTCAGGGCTTACGCACCCGCCACTGGGACACAGAGTTTAGGGAGTTTAGGGTTTCACCAATCGCAGGCGGGACAGGCAGGGTCTACGGCTTGACTCTCACAGCTTGGGCAATACGGGTGAGGCACCTGAGCTCGATGTGCGCTAACTGCTCAACGAGGGTACGGTTTAGGGGCTTGGATGTTTTCTCAACGTGTACATGTTCTGCCCACCGCGGCACTACCCCCAGTGAGGTTTTGTAGCCATTGCCAACGGGCAGAAGCTAGCCTCAATGCAGCTTTTGGCTTCAAGGGTGTTGTCTGCGGCCCCTTCAAGTTCAGCTGGGGGTCAGCCTACGACATTACTTAACAAGCGGGATACACCGCCTTGCTATAGAACGGCGCCTCGTGACGGAGTAAACCGTCAACCGGCCCCTCAGCAACCTTGCACAGTGCCATGGGTCCGAGCAGGGTCATCACATCATCCATTGCCATCATCAACATCACAGTCAGGGCAGCAGGCAAGGAGCAAAATCGCCCTAGGCAAGAAGGGGCAAGTCAAGGCAAGCGGTCTTTTTCAGTACAACCTGAGCGTGGTCTCTTCCAGGGCTGTACAAAGGCAACAGAGACGATCTCTCTTGTCATAGTTAGGTCAGAAGCAACATAAATAACAGGGATGCCATGGCAAGCTCAATGCGACACGAGGGGGGAACGGGTGGAAGGGACTCGCAAGGATTTAAACCATGACGAAAGAAATATCCCTCGGCCCTCGGGGGGTCAAGTGGTCTGGGGCCTGAACTGCTGCTCATGCCACGTGCCTGACATTGGCATCCCTGCCAGCCGAAACACAAGTTTCGCGCAGCCAAAGACCAAAGACCCCGGCAGGCCATGCGGTCTTGCACGCATGTGATTCGAGGTGCATCAGCCCAGCCACGAAACATGTGTTTGAAACCTGTGCATTGAAGGATCAGGGTACTCGAAACTACCATAAGATGGACGTTGAAGTAGACGCGACTGCGTGGCGGCAAGTACTGGTAACCTCACTACTCCATAGAGCCTACTTTGTCAAGTGCCCTAGTCCGCAAAGCAGTGAACTTGGAGGCTGTAGCAAATGAAGGATCCTCGTCTTTGTCCGTTTAGCTGTCATCGCCTTCATGTCGCCACGGCCTGTGGTAGGGGTTCCCTCATTTTCGGAAACTCCAACTTGGCCGGAACAGTGGCATTTTGCTCGTGCAAAGGACAACCCATCACAGTAGTCATCACGATACGAAACATTACAACAACAATGCACTAAAGACGGTCAGGATTAATAGGGTCATGACAAAATTTATAATGATAGTGCTTATGCCTTAATGTTGAGCTTCTTCGCCATCCACAGTAACGACCTCGGCTTGGGATCGCAGGCCCTTTCCAAGGTCATGGCGATGAGAGTTTAGGGCTCTCGTCGTGATGGCGTCGACAGCACATGCATGCATACTAATTGGGCGCACAGGCCAGGGGCACACCCTGGGAGCCATCAGTCTACCCTGCCGCTTGCTCTTTCTACCTGCTGTGGCACATTTGTATACGGCGGCGAGTCTGCTCTTCCGTCTGGCCCTGAAGGCTCACTTCAACAGTCATGTTCTCCACCAGCATTTCGCTGTCAAGTAGCAACTTGGCGGTGGTGCTTCTTAGGATGATGATGCTGCTCCTCACATCCCAACACTGCGCCAGCTGACAGCGCAGCTCGCGGACACACCGCGCTGTTCGCACTTCCGCCGTTGCAGCCGGCACATCCGGCTGCGGAGCCGACTGGAGCCGCACATTGATGAAAGACATTGCCGCAGGCCGTGTGGGAATTAAGTATATAGCTGTAGGCTTCTCCGCGGAGCTTATGGGTCGAAAGGGGTGTTTGCAGCTGCCGATCCATGCTACGACTATCCTGGTCGTACCGCTACCTTCTCAGAAACCAAATCATTGCGCCCTTGAGCCGTAGCCCGGCACCCCGTGCAAGCATGGCCTAAACTGGCCTAGACTGTAGCAGCGAGAAACCACCGTCCCCCCCGGGCCCAAGCAAGTCCTTCAGAGACTTCCTTCCTTTGGGTTTCTCATCCTGCTTGCTGCCTCGCCGGCCGGTCAGCACGGAGTGGCTCCTGCCAGCAGACACTGGTCATGGCAGACACTACCAACAAGTATAAGAATGGTGGTGATGGTGATGAGCATGATTCGATGATGATGATGATGATAGTGAACTTCTAGTGATCGTCACTGTAGTAAGAAGCAGTTAGACACGCAAGCCTGCTCTACACTGACAGCACGAATAAGCAGGCTAATCAGAATAATCAGACTCTGTAGGCAACCAATCATGAAGCCAAGGCAAAAGGAAAAGATGCGCCTCTTTCTATCCATATTGTATGTACATATATATATATATACATCTAAATATACATATCTACATATATACATACATACGTATATACATATACAGGTGTATCTATATATATATACATATATGTATATATATGTATGTATGTATGTATGTATGTATATATATATATATACATAAGTACATATATACATATGCAGATAGACATACACACACATATAGATATGTATATATATATATATATGCATACTTCCATGTGTGGATGCAACATACCAGAGCTCGAACAGAGAAGATCGACTAACGATTGCCATAACTTGCCAAGCTGCTCACTAAACTCTCTTTCAGGTTTCTGTCTCCAGCGCACAGGCTTGATTGTGAGTTTCTCTGGACATCTCTCGCGGTGAACCTGCTGGCACTCTTGACATCGAGTTTGCTAACAGTAACACGCTATGGGTGGGAAGTGCGGCCTATCCAATCTCACACACACACACACACACGTAACGAAATCAGGCGGAAGAAAACATCAGATAGCCTGACCAAAACCGTCGTTTCCACTTTCCGCGTCACTGCAATCTTCTGGACAATTCCACGCTTCTCCAGGTCCTCCATAGCAAGATAAGCTGGGGATGCGTCTGAGGGCGTTTCCACAAGGCTCCAAAGAGCGAACGGCACCACAAGTCACTTGACAGGACGATTACGTGTTGTTCCCGGTCGGGTTACAAATGCTGGCCATCCCACTCGAATTGCATTGAAAGTTCTCGTCTTATTATCCCTACAGCGTATCACGTTGCGCGAGCTTCCACGATAATGAAGTGCATGTTTCAATGCTCCAGGAGCCCATCAAGAGGGCTTTCTTGAGCTACAGCACAGGGAGTCTTCAAGCACTCGTATTCCTGCGGACGGATGCCACGCCCTGCGGACACTCCCATGCCCCCCTGCCTGCACTGCATGGAAGAGACGCATGTAGTCGAAAAAATTGGAGCCAGACCACCTGGCCGTGGAAAGGCTGAGTCTTTGAAGACACGATCAAACCTGAGCCCTTGAACTCTTTGCATGCATACTCGCAGAAACCGATGGAGATCGCTCTACGTTGAATCCAGTTGCAGCTGCGAGCAGGAAAGCTTCGCAAAACCTCGGCTCCGGCAGAACGGAGACTGGCCTGGAGCAGGTGCTCGAGGCCAGGTCAGAGAGGGAGAAGCTGCTGGAGAAGACGGTGCTCATCTTCACCACGGCCGCCTTTTGAAAAGGTGGGACAAGCGCGAGGACCAAACCGGCTTTGAGGCTCCTGCAGAAACCTTGGCCCCAAGCAGACTTCGCCCAAACCCGGCGAAAGCATCCAAGTGGACCCCTGCCTCCAGAGGGTCCAGCGACTCTAGTAGACACATGGTCTCTCCGACCATTGCTGTGTGCGACCTCGGAAAGAACGCCGTTGGCCCTCAAGGCCATGAGGGATCTCAGTAGGTGAACTTAAGAGCCTAGGCTACAGAGCCCGTGGCCTGAGCCCAGCTTGGAGCCTGGACAAGTCTCAGCTTCCTGTCTGTGCGGATACGGCAGTAGCCAGAAGAAGACCACCGAGGTTTGTAGGCTGCACCTATGCCGTGCTTCAGCCCGTCACTTGAGGCTGTGGCCACGTCGCAATATCAACCGTCTCAAGATCCTGCGAACGCTATGGTCTTGTGCTGACTGAACTGAATCTAGGGCATCACATGGCAGCATTTGTTTGGGGTCTGGCCTCAAGGCGAGCTGCAACTGCAAAGCATGACAAACCACAGGGATGGCCGCAGAACTTCGACCGCAAAACCGCGAGCCGGGCATGCTGCATTCCTGCTTGCACCGCCTAGCATAGCCGACACCGGACAATACACATAGCGTATGCTCCTCAGTGTTCTGGTAGACCAAAGGATCCGTCTCCGCTTCTCGCTCCACCTCAAAGCAGGTGCAGACGAGAGCAAGGTCTCAAAAGAGATCGGTGGAGCAAGGCCTGTCTTACACAAGCATAACAAAAATAATGATAATAAGAATGATAGTTCCACTTATAATATAAGCAATAATGATACCAGTAATATAATAATAGTAATAGCAATAGTAATAATAATAATAATAACAATACATTGCATGAATGCAAGCAAAGCCCTTGCATCTCTAGGCATCACTCAACTATGGCGAGCCCTGACATCGAAGTCGGCCTTGAGGTGGCCGTCCTGCAAGAGTTGGCCCAAAGATTCCTGGGAGTTCAGGATGTGCACAGGCCGTAAACACGGAAAGCTGTTGTTTGCTTATTTGCTTAGTTATCATCTCTTTAAATTCGTGTTTGTGTATGTACATACAGCGTGTGTGTGTGGGCGCGCCTGTGCGTCCGTTCGTCCGTCTGTCCGTCCGTTCATCCGTCTGTCTTCATGCACAAGCATCTACGCGTGTTTCGTACAAACACTACTCATTAATCTCGATATGGATCGCGACAGCGCAATATTCGCACAGCTACATGCCAAGTGTCGACCTAGGTCTTGCGCATAATCGCGCCCGCTCACGTCTTGAATCAAAGTAGGTTGGCTAGACTCTGGCTAGACTGGTGGACCTTGCGCGCAGAAAGCCTTAACGGCACCGTGCTTTCCTTGCACGTCTGGGAAAGAGACACATGGAAGGACCATGCTGGCCTGGCTTTCTGCCAAGTTCTCAGCTTGGCGGCTCTCTTGACAGGGCACACGGAGCTCCTTCTTGCTGCCAAGCTACGCGAATGTACAGTGGATTTCCCAAGGAAATTTTGGACACAAAGTTGGTCACGCTGTCGGGTATGGACGACATGGGCACCTGGCACGCCAAGGGACACAGCCAGTGCATTCGAGTTGCTTCTCGGAGTCTCTCTGGCTGAAATCAACCTCGCACCTGGAGACATTAGCGGAGCTTGGCGCACAACATAAGCTCACTAACCAAAGCTACGCGAAATTATTTATATGGGTAGTTGTCAAAGTTATGGTCCCTTCTGGGTTACCCTAAATAATAGGTGCCGTATTATTATAAGGACCCAAAAAGGGACCATAATTTTGACAACCACCCATTTAGTATTCAAGGAACGTGCCTCCAAGTGTTCGGCCATGTACTCCTGAGACTCGCCAGATTTCAGTGTGGTGATCTTTGAGACTCGGGTTTCGGATTTGGCTTTTCTTTCGGCTGAAGCTGCCGTACTTGAGCCCTCTTTGAGGACTAGGCTCGGCAAGCCAAGCGATCAACAACAACCATCGAAGTCCCGGCCTGGCAGATGTCTTCCGACAGACCCGTGAGCTCCACGACCCAATTTCGGGCAGCTGATGCCTCCACATGAGACTCTTCTGCCGCCTATTGCCTACTGCCACCTGGGCCATACGACTACGTACAGCGCAAGAATGAAGAGTCTGAAGAGTTCTGGTTTTTATGCTAGCAACGGGATTCCGCGAGGAGCAGGAGTTGCAGCTGTGGTCGTCGTTTTTGTTTATTGCAGTGCATAGCATATCATATCATTTACTCTATTGCTATTACTCCCTTGCCCCTGCAACTACGACGACCACGACCGCGACGACGTCGACTTCGACCAGGACTGTGACGTCGATTACGACTACAACTTCGACTACGGCAACCACTGCTCTGACGACTACTACTACTGCTGCTGCCGCTGCTGCTGCCACTTCTAGCACCGTTAGCGACGTATGGATGCCGCAGCTGATGGCACCTTCTCTGCACGACACAGATTATCGGGTGGACATGGGTGGACAGAAGTAGGCCCAGGTCCAATTAATTGGCCGCGGCCAGGCGATTCCCCCTCAATGCAAAACTAAGCCAAATACGAAGGGCAACGTAGCTTGGCAGGCCTTGACGAACTCGTGATTCGTGTCCGGATTCTTGCAGAGAGTGAAGAGAACAACTGGGTTGCTCGTCTTCTCTTCCGCTAGTCTCAGAAGCCTCGGCTAGTCCGCCTAGACCGATTCCCACATCCGCAGTCCAGCATGCCCAAGCGGGCTCAACACTATCGCCACGGCAAGGCCGTGAAATCTACAGGAAGAAATGGAGCTCGTGAGCATCCCTAATCCGCAGGCAAGCTGCTTTGACACTACCTCATAGAAGCAGTTGAAGTGGCCCAGGGTTTTGTCGAAAAGCGTGGTGCCGAACTCGAGTTGGCAAACCTCTGGCTGAGTCGGGCAACGATGGCTACAGTGCATGTCGATTCATGGCTAGAGGCACCGGCCCCGCAAGACCCAGCCGAACCCCACTAAGACCCTACGACACTACGCGTGCTGATAAGAGGCAATGATGACAGCAACGTGGCTCCGCAGCCGTTCCTTGCAAAGCCAAAGTCGAAGCAAGCCCTGTGACGACGAGCCCCATTCTTTTTCAGGGCCCTCCAGGTGGGGGGCTGATCTTCATGCGGGTTTGGTGAGGGTTTCGTAGCGTTCGGTTGTAGCATCGTTGAATCATAGAAGTTCGCGGCATCTCAGGTCTAGTTACACCTTGAGGCTCCTTTCAGCAGAGGGAAAGTACTTTCGTGAATACTTGTTGCATGTGCATCGACTCCCTTGTCGATGGAATACCAAACAAAGTACCCTGAACATGGACACGCAGATGGCGTTGTCCGAGCAAACTAGGCTCCTACAGTATTTCCGTCACAGCTTCTATAAGAGACGCAGCCACATCTGCAAGCTCGTGCAGCGCAGACACACCTGAGATAGACCGACATGGTGGGCAAACTGATTTTGCTTTTGACCAAGTCCTTTCCTAAGTAGTCTAGGTTTTGGTCGTATTCTTCACCCTGTATGCCACTAAACCTTTGATTTTTAAAAACGATCGTGGCTCTTCCTCGTTCCACTCTAAAGCCGGCCACGGTGCCTGTTTCTAGGTTGCTTTTCTGGTTTTTCAAAGCCGTCACACAACAAAAAGTTGTGCCCAGGTGCGGGTGTCCTCGTGCACGCCACCTTCGTAGGCATCTCGAAGAAGGTCCGGGAGCTTGTCCACTGATTCCAGGTGAGGAAGGAGTTTGCTTAAAGCCTGCCCTTCGTCGTCTGGAAGCGATGGATCAACTGCATGGCGATAAGCTCCCAGGCAGCTCCGAACCAGCTCCGCGCCCATTCGGGCCAGGTCTTGCGTGCGCGGGCCCATGGTCCCAATAACAGGCATCATAAAATACTTCTGCGCCGCATAGACGACAACATGCTGTGCCAGCTCGATCTTGCCCAACCCTGCTGGGCCGTGCAACACCACGGACCCACCGCTGGAAAAAGGACTGTTGGATGGAGGGTTCTCCAGCCTGCTGGGCCGTGTAGACGGAGCCCTAGGTGGTTCTTGGTGAAGGACCTTGTCATAGGAGCCACCAAGCCAACTTTGCACCTTGCAGACCCCATCCCAATCCGGCAGACCACAAAGCTTCATGACGTTTGTCTGCAGAACCTCGGCGATGGTCGTCTTGTCGCCTTGGGCACCAGCCGTCAAGCTGCGCTCGTACCAGGGAAACAGAATCTTTCCTTCCGGTCCGACACCTGAAGAAGCCAGTTGCTTTATGGATGTAATTTTTGATGGTTGACGACGCTCAAAGCTCGGGAGACCGGGCGGGGACTTCTCGGTCTAAAATGTGAGCCGGTACTTTCCCGAGTCATAAATGACGTTACAGCGACTACGATCTCTTCTCAGGTTCACCTACATGTCGTTGCTGCTTGCGAGACGGTCCCGGTCCTTCAACCTCAGTAGAATTAGAGGCCTGGTTGTCTTTGCTTCCACCCCGGCTCCTGCCTATGTGAGGACTGGTGATGGCCAGCTGCGGCCTGAAGATCTTCACAGCCTGCTCCTTGCCTTGGCTTACATAGCCGTGACAGCTCTTTTCCCAACGCTGCACCATGGCTTGCGGCTACTTAAGTCGCAATAACATCAGGCCCGAAAGCAGGATTCGAGCTTTCACGCCACTTCTTTCCTGTGACAAGGTTCCTTTGACTTTGATGGGCTTCAGATCTTCGAAATTGAGCTCCACCGTGCAGCGTGTCCTGTGTTTCAGCGGATCCAATATGGAAGGGCAACCGACAGGCGTGACTTCGTGTCGGGCTTGGCGAGCTACGACTGCTAGCGCTACTACGGCGACTTCTACTAGTTCTTGAGCCGGAGCAAGCCACCTCGTCTCTTCGTCCACGAGGATGCCGTTCGCTGGTGCGTTGGCCATCAGCCGGGCGGACAAATTGACCGCATCACCGAGGACGGTGTACTCCATGCCTTGGCCCCGTGGATGTTCGGCGACTCGTAAACACTAATACCATCCCTTCTCCTTCCATGAATGTCGAGATGCTTTGGTAAGTAGATATCAGGCCTCCGCACCGCACCCCCCCAAGCTGCAGCTCCCCTCTTGGAACTCTGAAGAGCCGGCTACCCCTTACTCCTTGCACTGAACCTTGGCCAGAACTACCAAGCAGAGGTTCCACCAGAGACTACCATTTCGTCTTAACTGCACTCGTTTTGCTATCAAGCACCACAACAGCCTGTACGAGTATCACTTCACTACTGCACTACACACTGCCGTAGCAGGGCCTCTCTCAAGCCCCCAAGGCTAACCTCCTCGCGCACATGCGCTTCAACCTGAAGCTGAAAGCCCCAAACCCCAAATAAACCCCAAATCTGTCCGATTAATGGGCTGAAGTTGCCATAATGGGAATCATGGAAGACATATAGATAGTCAATTAACCTTGCGCTTTCGTATAATCGTGCATTGAACTAAGTAACTAAGTTCCTGTACAAGAGCCCGGCTTTTTTGCGGCTGGGGAGCGCTCCGCACTGCCGCAAACTCCGCAGTATGCTCGGCCAGTGGAGACGCCGCAGCGAGCCACAAGGCCCAACTTGATGAAGGCGCGGACCTGTCCAGGTAGCGCTGTTCCTGTTGCTGGAATTACTGCCTATGCTGCTGGTGATTATCTTGAGGCATCAATAATATCACATGAACGAAGTCTCAGAGCATGCAGGGCTTGCCTTCGTCCAAGTGAGCCAAGTCTTTTCAACACAGCGGTTCTAAGGATCTTTCGGAAAGCATCCACAGAATTCGCCACGGATCATAGTTGCACAGTTTCACCTCCGAATACCCGGAAGCCCTGGCCCAGGCCCTGAAACACCCTGAAAAACCCCCACTCTCCGCTCCGAGCTGCAATGTCGAAGCAGGAAAGCACTGCCCTCGTGGCATCGTCCGTATGAACCTCCCAATTGGGAGCTGGCATTATGGAGCTTCGAGTGCCAAGAGGATAAAGACACGAGGAAGCATGGAGACACAAAGTTGAACTCCGAGGGGCCAAGGGCGGCAGGCCGTAGGCCAGCAAGAAAAGCATACCCTTGTCGTCGATCAGGAACTTGTTCAAGGTCCCTTCCTGAGACGGAGGGGATATCCACGAGCAAAACAACAGCAGGACAGATTGCTTCCGATCATGATGAAGTCGCAAAGCCCTAAGTAGGTGCATCCTTCACCTGTGCAGCTGCGCGTCGTTGGCATAGCAGATGCGCTGCACAGACACCATGAGCTCCTGCAATGTGATCTCCAGGCTGTTTTATCTGCTTCTGTGAGCTTGTCTCCACTAAGCCTGAAACCTTCGTGCTACCACGTCGTCGCTCTGTAGCGAGACTTGACAGAGGTTTGCCTGAGCCGTGTCTGCGCCCTCATCAGTCGACACATCGACCCCAGAGCAGGAGATGAACAGCGTGGAAATGTTTCCTGAGAGAGCCATTGAAGACTCAAGCGCATGCCTCATGAGCACGCCGGACCAGTTGATGCCTATTGCAGCCTTTCTGCCTTTCTTGCGTGGCAGGGGGCTCATCTCGTTCACGTACGTCAGAGTGCCATCTTCGATCTGCTTGAAGACGGCAGACGGCACAAACTTTCGAATGATGTCCTGTTCTGAGCAAAGTTTATCTCACCCCGTGCTCCCTTCTGATTACTTCAGGCCACGTCTGCACAACGAGGTTATAAACAGCAACAAACAAGCTCACCCAGTGTAAAACGAGCAGCCAGCTCCGCGATGGTGAACTGCAAGTCTTTCCGAGTGTCACGCTCCTGTGCTGAAGCCTGGTCTCAAGGACGCTCACAGGATGGGCTGTGTGGGTGAGTTGTCAGTCTGAAATGCCTTTGCGATTGGACTCGACTTCAACGTGTCGGCCGGGAGGCCTTCACGGTGGGAAAGGTAAACTTCGACTCGTCCAATTTCAGGAGCAAGTGGAAGTTGTCGTTGTCAAGCTGACGACTCTTGTCCGGAATCACCTCCAGCGCAGGAAATCTCAAAATACAATTTGCCCACTCTGCGTGTCAATTCCCACTGCATTTTTGGTGCTGTTGTTGACGGTTGCCGCGGCGGAGGCGGCAGCAGCAGCACGGGTCGTCGTCTTCCACCGCCACCGCCACGCCTACCACCACTCTCGTCGTTGTCGCTATCCTCGTCATCGTCATCGTCGCCACGGTTGTACTTGTAGTAGTTACAGCAGCAGCAGCAGCAGCAGCAGCAGCAGCAGCAGCAGCAGCAGCTTCAGCAGCTTCAGCAGCAGCAGCAGCAGCAGCAGCCGGCTGCGGTTTGGGCGTCAGCATCGGCGTCAGCGTCGGCGTCAGCGTCGGCGTCAGCGTCGTCGGCGTCATCTTTGTTGCAGCTGCAGTGACAGTTGCAGTTGCAGCTGCTGCTGCTGTTGCTTTTGCTGTTGCTGTTGCTGTTGCTGCTGCACTTGCTGTTGCTGCTGCTGTTGTTATTGGTGGTGCTGGCGCTTGTGCTGGTGCTGGCGCTGGGGCTGGCGGTGTTCTTGGTTTTGCTGCTCCTGTTGTTGTACGTGTGATTTTTGTTACTGCTGTGCGTGTTCTTGTGCTGCTGCTGGGGCTGTTGTTGTTCTTCAGTGTGCAGCCACAGCTGCAGCACCAGAAGCAGCAGAAACAGCTATACTGACAATACTGGCCGTGATAGGCTCTTCACATCACTGAAGCTTCTGGGAGGCCGTCACAGGCTCAAGCCCAACTTGCCGATGCCGGCCAAGCCACATAATTCTGCACGTGTTCCCAGGCTTGTGGACTGAGGCAGGTCTCTCCATTTTTGGCTAAAGGCTCAGCAATGGAGATCTGCTCCAGAGGGGCACCTCGTGGCTACGAAACACCGCAAGAGACACGGATACTGCGCCTCCCAAACGCAAGAGCACGCAAGGTCCGATACATGTATTTCAATGATCTGGCCTGCGATGATATACTCGCAGCGCGGGATAGCAATTTCGGGTGGCTCCACGCCGCCCACTTGCAGAATCGCAATCTGGCAAGGGGTTGGCCGTTTCGGGGGATGTTGCTGCTGGCGTTGCTCAGCTTTCTACGTACCCTCCTCATGGTTTCAGGAAGACTCACTGTCCGTCAGCCCTCGAGGCATTGCGCACAAGTGTCAAACCAGCCGGATGGACCTCGCCGCATCCCAGGCCAATGTGGAGGCACAGGCGGACCCCGTCGACGCCCGTGTCAAACATGTGCAGCCGCTTCTGGATCCTTGCTCAAAACAATCAGCAGCCCACAAAGAAAAACTGAAATTAGACGCCCACATTCGTGCTAGCCATCGCGGCTGCACTCATCTTCGGGGCGCCAGCTCAATGCAATGCCGTTCAAGACGAGTCTCTCTATGCAGCATGCGCAAGCTCTGAGCACTGCAGTAGCCATGGGCCCAATGTCCTGCATCAATCCAGTTCATGACACCGTAGCCAGCTCAGTTGCGCATACCGGATTGCTTCAATGGGTTCACTCAACTCTTCCATTTTAGGCTGAAGCCTTATGTCGAGAGTGGTTTGTTTTTGCATGCTGACGACAAGGGCACGAGGCTGCGGTCCGGCTGGTGGTATGAGCCGTGAGGGGGCACCTTGAACTTGCTCTGGTCGCCAACCTCTGTGTCGTCCACAGCAGGAAAATAGATCATGAGCGCATCTCCACTGAACTTGATGACATCGCCCCTGTAGGCATTGATCAGCCTCGGACAAGAGCGAGTGGGCAGCACACTGAAAACTCTCAGGCTCGGGGCTCCGCAGGGCTCCGCAAGGCCTCCTGGCTTCCGAGGAACTGAATCAACGGCGTGAAGAAGGATGTCAGGCACTGCGACAGGAGCTCCGCCCCATTGGTCTTCTTTGCGAGTCGCTCGGTCAGTGCCGTAAAGCCGCTGGCATCGGAGAAGACCACAGCGCCAGATCCACGATGGAGGACAATGTTTCCATCGTCCACCTCTCCCTGAAGGTAAGCCTGGCCATGGTTTAAAATTTGAGGACCATAATGAAGCTCTCCACTCCGATTACCGCGTGGTAAAGATCCGTAAAAGACAACAGTTTACAAGCAAGTCTTCTCCGATGATGAGCATTCTTCAAGAAACCTATCTGCTAAGCAGTCATGCGGTACCCTTCTACAGGGCTGGGTGCTCGATCCAGGCCTGTTGCACGATCCAGGGCACGAATGCCAGAGAGCCGTGCAAAGCCTCCAGGTTCCGGTTCTTGAACCAGGTAACGGCCAAGGGCGGTAGCGGCTTCCTGGTGCCTTGATTGTCTTCTATGTCCCACATACCATTTTCTGTACTTCTCACCAGTTGACGCAGATCTTCAGACTGCGGCTGCATCTGCCGCGTCTTCCGATGAGTCAAGACCTTCGAGGCATCCAGGCCGTCTATGCCGAAGATGGACTTGCGGGGGCTCCCAGCAGGCGAGGCTGGCGATGCGTCTGCATCCTCTGTGGAGAGGGGCTGCACGCTGCTCTTTGATCCCCGGCCGCCCATTAAGGCAACTTCTCCCGGATGCGGCCTCTACATGCTGGGGCTGCTCAGGAGGCTTCCCTTGAGCCCAAAGTCCTGCAATGCGATCCGCAGGCTCAGACCATCTGGAAACCTTCAATCCCTGATGCGGATGTGGACTCTAAAATGACTCTAAAAGCTGGACCAACTGCCGACAACAAGCGCTGCAGCCCTCACCCAAGAGCCCGTATTCATGTTATAGTGGCCTCTGGCACGCGGCAGGTGGCCAAGCTGGCATGGTTGAGGAGGCCGCTGAGGCGGGGAGAGCGCCAACATTGCGGCTAAAGCCAGATCCCAAAATCTAAACCGGGCGCAATAGTGTCACCGATACAGAAACCGTCAGGCAGCCGATTTCGGTGAATGCAGCATCCTGTCACATCCGGCTGTGGTAAATGCTGTCTGCAAACTTTCAACTTCAGCAGCTGCCTATTGTACTGTCTCATCGCCACGCAGCTCGACCGGACATACGGTGGACGGATGTGGATGTTGCCAAAGCATCATAAGCAAGTAGGAAGCTTGGTCAAGATGACGGGCCTCGAAACCTAAAATGGCTAGACCATACACCCTAGAAGGGTCACTAAACTCGGAACCTTACAGCGCCTTACAGCTCGCAGGCATCGATTTTGTCTTCGGCTTGGTGTCGTCGCTCTCCTGCAGTATCAGGTTTCCTTACGACAAGCTAGCTTTCGAAAACGAGGATTGAACCACTGAGCTTCAACATTCCACGGTTTCATACACTGCCCTGGCAAGATGTGGCAAGAAGCTCGGGATATCTGTCCACGGTCTTGTCGTGGAAGCCCTCACAACAAACCGCCCCTTAAAAGATCCCAGCAGTATCAGCGGAGCCCGGAACAAGGCTTTTCCTAAGCGCGCTCCTCTGGCGGGCCGAACAGCTTCTCGGCGTCGCCGTGGCGAAGCTGCCGGCGCGCCTGAGTTGTCGAGAGGCTCATCGACAAGATGGCCATTCGACGGTGCGATAGATGCTGTCTGTTGCAAGGCACCTCTTCAAGCTTCTGGAAGAGGTCATCCACGTCCTCGGGCAGAATCACATCTCCAGTTCTGCACACCCACTCCAACTTGCTGACGTTTTCACCAGGACACGACTGCAGTCGCACTGGCTTTTCCAACCTCCGCATTCAGGCGCACGAGCTCAAAGCACTCGACGGCCTCTGCTGAGGGTTCTTTCTGTGGCACAACAAGATGCACTGAACATCATCCGAGAAATTAGCTTGCAGTGCCCTGACCCGCAGATTTACTGTCATACTCTTACCGATATACCTGGTCGTCTGTTCCTCCGTTGTTGCATCAAAGGAATGACGCAGTTCAAAGCCGGCAGCAGTTTGCCGACTGTGACCTATTTTTTGAGCTTAATTCTTAAGCCATTGCCAGAACTTTCGATCACGGCGGACTTGTCCGCTTTTCTCGGCTACGTTTAGATGCTGGCTTCACGAATGAGAGTCCCCTATGAAACCACTGGCTTCGCGTCTCGTTTTCTCGAAGCCGGGACCTGCCTCGCAATTTGTGCCGACGACCGAATCCTGCCAGATATCCTGTTGTTCACATTCCCCAGAGCCCCCAGACACACTCGAAAATACCCAACACCCTTAGTCTATGCCCTCAGGAGCTCCCCACTTTCTAATATAAATCCATAAAGCCCCCGACGACTTCCCCCCACAGCCTCTTCGAACTCGTCCAATTCCAAGCAGGCATCCCCCAATGCCAGCAAACAGCGACTGCCCTCCTCGGAGCTCAGCTTTCCCCGAGCCTCCAAGATGGTCCTCGCTGCGGGCTGCGGGAATTTATGGGTTCCTGTTCGCCCTCACACTCGGACTCAGACGAGGTACATGCTTCGCAGTCTGCATGGAAACGGGATCATGGGAGGCTCGAACTGATCTACCGTACAGGCACCTGTTTCGGTCTTGGAGTGGATCCGCTTCATGGGCGAGAACGAGCCCGCGCAACCCTGCAGGTGAAGCTTGCCAGAGACTGCGCGGCAAATGCCCGCCAAGCAGGGCTCGGCAGAGCTTCCGGTTGCTGGACGGCACCTCAACGTCGAAGCCAGCAGACGATGCAAGGACGGCCACGGAACGCCTGGCCTGAGCCTTCAGTCTGCTCTTTGAACGAGATCCAGCAGAAAGCCATTTGTGTTGACGCGCTGCTGGAAGCCTGCAGCATTCGCGAAGAAGTCCCACTTTTGGGGATTCTTCTCGATATCCTGCCAAGCCTCTGAAACCTGATCCAGAAAGGTTGCAACATGAAGAAAGTATGTGTCAAGCGGTGGCAGATTTGCCACGGCTTTCTCGGACACGCAGAGGTATCGTTGAGTCTCCAAACAAGCGTTGAAGGCCTCATAGCTCTGCTGTCCAGAGGGCAATTAATTCACAAAGGTCAGCCCCGTGGCTCGGAGGCAACGCCTCGTTTCGCACCAGCAGTGCCTTCAGCCGTTTTTCTGCGACATCTGCATCGTTTCATCGGAGGATGTCAGCGCCGAAGCTGTCTCTCTGGAAGCTTCATGCACGCTGGCAAAGAGCTGCCTTAATGCCTGGACGAAATCTGTCATTCGCCCCAAAAAAGAGGTAAAGGAAATGCAAGGAAGAAACAGCTCCCCCCTTGACGGAAGCTAGGGCGACAAGAGAATCCACGCTCACGTCGTGGATGGTGCCTTTGGCGACCTCATCCACACCGTGGTTGATATAATTTCCAGTACGTAGAACTACATCGAGCACTGTTTTCAACTGATGGCTCGTGCGCATCTGCGCTGCAGCAGACATCAGTGCCTGACATCTTCTGACGATGGCACTGAACTGCGCAGGGTGCGACAACGCAAACTTTGACACCTCCATGCGCTCCACTCCATTCGCAATCGCGCAGAAATGCATGATCTCCTGCTCCACGTCCCGAAGGTCGGGAACGCGGCCAGAGTACTGAAGCAGTTTCTTCGTCTCCTCTGGTGTGGGGAATACGGACATGAGCAACTCCACATCTTCCAGACTATAACGAAGCTCTCGCTGAAGTGGAGGTTCTACAAGCTTTGCGCCAACTCCTCGGTAGAAAGCTTCATGCTGCAACATGGCGATGGCCAAGTTTTGCGTGCGCGCTCGGCCCATCCAGAACAACTATTCCTGCTCTCTTAGTTCCGCTCCTCCCAACAACAATAGTCGGTTTCTCGGCTTCGGCGCAAAGCATTCTTTTCATAGTAGGCTCCGGCCCAATGCAACCGTTCCCCAAGAGGCATGTAGCCAACAACGCGGGGAGGCTGCCACCGTGGACTTGGGAGCAATCTTGCCCCTGCCAGCGCCCTTTAACGGAGCTTTCCCGGCCCTTTGCCTTTGCCTTTTGTTTCGAGTGGTCGGCAAAGGTCATTAGAAGTGGCAACTCGGCAAGCGCCTGCGGGTAGACCTCCCAAGATGTCACCTCCTTTGCAAGGCAGCCCTGAATTATAATTCCCCCGATTCCTGCATGCCTCACCTTGCCGACTTGCACGGCCTGCGCTTCGCCGACTGTGCACCGATGCCTCGAGTCCGAAAGCAAACGCTCCTCAAAACGCTTTCCATGATAATGCTGTGCGACAGATCCAGCCAGCACAGGCACAGAAGCACCTGAAGTGGCGTTTCTGCGACTGTGCCACTTGATCACACTGATCTCCCGCTGGTCGGCCCAGCGAGGTGCTCGCGAGGTGAGGCAGTGTGCTGTGAGGCCGACCCAAAGCAATTTGGCAATCAAGCTCCAAGATGTGAACCAAAGCTCGGGTTTTTGCAAGGGATAGTTCCAGGGTTCAAGGTATCTCAGGGTTTAGGATACGGCACACCGTTGACAGGGGAAGATGTCTTAAAGGAATGTGTCACGTTCATGCCCGTTCACCTTGCACGAGTAAGAGCGACGAACATCGACATCCTACGACACTCATCCTGACCACTGTCTGCTATGTCGCTATGATCTTTGAGAGCACTGCAGCACAAGCACCTGCGAACGGGGTCCTCGCTGTCTCGAGAGTTTCTTTGGCCAGGGCGGCATCCCCCAGCTCACGCTGAGCCACCTCAAAGCTGCTAAAGCTCCTAAAGTCTTACGGCCAAAATCGTGTCTAGCGTGGAAGTTTGCTTCACAGGCCCCTCGAATCAAGACACAAAAGCTGCTGGGGGGGGGGGGGTTGCTTACTTCGTTCATCTCTACACCTAAGCCGCACTCGTCAAGTTACAACATCGCAAGGTTTCAAACTTATGTTGCATTCGGTGGCACAGCAGCCGGGAGCCCTGTCCAAACGAATCGCTCTCCAGCGAGTTCACTTGCATGTACGACGGAATCCACGTAGCATGCCCAGAAATGTCCACTACCCTTCCTGCCCTCAACCCGTTCGGGAGCAGACCCCGAGGCCGCGAAGGGCGCGTGCTGCCAACAGGGTGGCCTGGCCCTCTTGAGCCTGCACACAGCCGCCGGGCTACTGATTGCAAGTCTGTCGCCACAGCCACTATTTGTGTGGTCTTTGCTCTGGCAGCTCATAATTATAGTAAAAAAAGGCACGTCTCAGGAATTCAATGCGCAAGACGGTCTACCTCAAATGCTCAATGAGCAGAAGCAAAGCCGTAAGTCGCAAAGAAACACCCCAAAGTGCCCACAAGCGATGAACAACAGTCCTCAGTACTACCCTACACAAGCCGAGCCAACGTAGCTAATGTAGGAACCTCATTAACAAGAAGCCGGTGGCTCCAAAGAACCGGATTGGTGTGATCCATGTTCGGAAAAGGCGTGGACTTCTCAGTCAAATTCCTACATTAGGCAGCGGCCTCGAACCCCCCGATGGCTTCCTGCAACACAGCCCTGGCTGCAGAGTAGTTCTGCGCTCCCACGTAGGCCATGCCTGCCGGCAGCCAGGCACGTTAAATCCTAAGGTAATCCTGCATCGTACCCGTAAAAAAGGAATCCGACGGTCGGAAACAGGTGAGTCCAGTATCTACTGCCTGCGTTTACTGGAGCTCCTCTAGGGCCTAGGGCCAGAGCCTCGTATCCGATAGCCTGGCTGGTGACGACAGCAAACGCATGTGTATATGATTGTACAGGCATGTACATAAGAAAAACGGTCATGCTACACCTAGATAGAAAGAAAGGAAGAGAGGCAGATGCGTAGAAAGAGAGACCGAGATGGATGGAGTAGGTCAGTAGGTCGCTAGTAGGTCGGTAGGTCGGTAGGTCCGTAGGTCGGTATGTCGGTAGGTCCGTAGGTCGGTAGGTCGGTAGGTCGGTAGGTCGGTCGGTCGGTCAGCTAGGTGGCTAGGTAGATAGATAGATAGATAGATAGATAGATAGATAAATAGAATGCTGAGACCTTTTTGCTTATATCTACATAACAAGTAGACATCTGCATGCGTTTTCTGTATCATCATGTCTAGATACATCATGCCGCCGCTCATGTGTTATAGACGACATTGAGATGGGTTACCTGAACTCTATAAGTTACATTAACACACAGACACGCGGAGGCACGCTCAAGTCTAATCATGCTTCATTTGCTCATGTCTATTTTCTGCGCATGAGCGGGCAAGCCCCAGCCCCACCCAAGGCTGTTGAGGACCGCGGCGACCGGGGCCGCACATTTCGCAGCTCCTGGCAAACTTGAGGGCATCCCTGATCCGACGTGGCCACGACTCAAACACGACGTGAATGAGAGGGGAACCGTTGGATCGTGAAGAAACATAGCTGAAGTTGACAAGGGGATGAAATCGAAAGTGCACGCTCCTTGAGTCACCACCTTTTTGCCCGCTCGGCTCACACGTCACATGCCTCTAGTCCTTCTGCAGTGGATCCCGCTGTCAACAGCTATAACTCCCGAAGAAGCAGGGATGCCTGGATCGCATCGTCTGGCTTGCCGGCCCTGCATACAAGGTCCAGCTTTCCAGGATATGCAGGGCTTGCGATGGCTTCGATGCCGTTTACTGTGAGAGCGAGGTCCGAATGTTGGTTTCGTGGGCTTTCTGAAGGGTTTTCCCTCTCGCATGGCCGGGCCAATGCTTAAAACATTCTTCCTTTTGTATTGGGTCTTCATTTCTGTAAAAGACATGCCCACTTCATGAAGACCCCAAACCCCCAGAGCTGCGTGGTCTTTACCGAAAAAAGCTTGGTGCACACTTGGCCTCAGCAGCAGCTCGCAGCGCACCGTCCGGACCAAAGCCACCTCTGGCGACTCGCCGTCACCTTGGGCTTCGCTCAGAGCACATACATGGTCATGCTTTGTTGCCTGCATAAACATACGTGTGCACTTATTGCATTACTGATCTAGGTATGTAGTGGGTGAGGTATTTAATAATGTAGTTACTTGCTACCTTAGCGCGGGCATATCTAATGATACCTATATCTATATCTGTTTTCACATGTGTACAAGTACCTCTTGTTCTGCTGTACAGTGGTTATGTGTATACATATATAAATAGACGCACATACTTATTAACGTACATCCGCGTCCGTATTGGAAGAGCTATAAGGCATACAAGCATTATTATTGAACACGATATGCTGGGCCCGCTCGGCTGCCGAACAATTCTTCACATTGCTTTGCATTGAAGTATTGCTACGCTGCAACCGTGCGGATACGATGGACTTCTCTGTCACCCACCTAGCACGGCTTCCCGAAAACAGTATATAATAAATGCGTACGTGCAGACAAACATACATACATACGTACATACATACATACATACCTACATACATACCTGCATATCTACATACAAACATACATACATACGTACAAACGTACACACGTACATACATACACTCATACACACATACACACATGCATACATTACATTACATTACA